AACACGCAAAGCCATGCAATTTTGTACTTTTGCCAGTCAGTAGCGGAGAAATTAAATTTGATAGCGAAGCAAACTATATATACAAAAAGTTAGGCCTTGTTTTTATACAACTTGTTAGTTCATAACAGCTTGCAACAGCAATAAGATTAACGAAGTAACTTCGTTATGGGTGCCAGAGCATAAAAGAATTGCTAAAGACGAAGATTATAGTCTTTTTATCGGATCAAACGGAAGATGTTCGAATATTAAAGAAGCACGGTTTCTTGGCTTAAATTTTTTAATAAATAATAAAACTGTAATCTTTTTATACATGAGATATATAGCATTCTTAATGCATTTTTAGCCGTACGTTACGATGAAACCAGTTGTAAATATTCAAATTATAAAATATATTTATAAAAACAAAAATTATAAAAATTGTTACTACACATTGGTATTCAGCGAAAAATTTTACATAAGATAAATTATCAAATATTAAATGGATACAACAAATAAAAAATACTACAGATAATCGCTGTTGTCTTTTGTAATGTGCAAACTTCATTAGATTGTAGCAGTAGAGATAAAATATAGATTATATTAAATGACTAACAACCTTACCATTCAATTAATATTTGTGTGCCACTTCTTGTTTATGTCGTTTAGAGATTAAATATTAGTTTCATTAGTAATGATAGTTGAAAAATATAACCCATCACAGAAGTAATTCTATTTAGAATATTGTTATTGAAAAATTAATTCTTTGACAATTAGAATACAGGTAATAATCATGGCAATCTGTTTTTCCTTGTAGAATTAATTGCAGCATGTCCTTTGTGCTGTTCCTCATGATATGACCGGGACATTTCGAAAGTTTTAATTTTCTTGCAGGTAGCGTCTGTGAGAGTCCACGCTCAACTTCGTACAACAGTATAGGAAATATATAATATCGTAATCACCTGATTTTTAAGGGTACTGATAAATTCATGGCATTATTGACCACATACAGCGGAAGGTTGTATTCATTGGTTTTCGCAATTAAGAATTTTATGCGCCATGTAGATGGTCGATTGTGCTGTATCCTTTCTGAATCCGGCCTGTTCCACTGGTTGGTAGTTATCAAGTTTTATAGGTTAGTCGGTTGTTTATTATTCTTGTGAAGGTTTTATATAGTTGTGACAAAAGGGAAATAGGACGGTAGTTGTTTAGGTCTGTTCGGTCTCCTTTCTTATGTATTAAGATTGTGTTGGCATTTCTCCATTGTTTAGGTATTTTACCTTCAAACAGACATTTGTTGAACAGTATTTTTAGCATTTTTTTTATCGTGTCTCCTCCTTCTTTTAGCAGTTCCGCCAGTATTTTGTCCTCACCGGTCGCTTTATTTCTTTTAATGTCGTTTATGGTTTTTTCGATTTCATCTTCAGTTATTTCTGGTAATACCTCTGAGCCAACATTTTGTATTTTCCTCGAGAGATTCTGTTTAGATGATGGTGGTGGGTCATTTTTAGAACTGTATAGGTCTGTGTAATATTTTCTGTGATTTTTACTATTTCTCTAGATCTCTTTCTTCATTGTTCTCAGCTTTAAGCATGATTAGTTTTCTTTTTCCTATATTTGTCTTCATTGTTTTTAAACTTTTGTTCTTCTCTATGATTTTCTTAATGCGATCTTCTTGGTATTTCTTTAAATCTTCCTTTATCTGTTTTCTTATGGTTTTGTTCAGTTCGGTAAACTCCACTGTATTTCTTTTGTTATCATTCAGGAGTTGTCGTCGTTTTTTAGCATATCTTGTGATTTAGCGCTAATTTTTTGTTGTTTTCGCTTTTGTTTATTAGCAATCTTCAGGCCTGCTTCTAGTAGTTCTGTTGTTATTTTATCGTTTAATTCGTCTAGTTGCAAACCCTTTAGCTGTGATATATTACTTCTTTTTAGCTCGTTTATGTATTGCTCTTTGCGTTCTTTAAGAAGTTCTGTATCTATCTCTTTTTTAGATGGTTTACATTTTTGTCTGTCTGTTGTGGCGTTAATTTTGATTTTGGCTCTAACAATTCTGTGATCACTTCCTACGGAAATCATGTTTATGACAGTAACGTCTTGTACTATGTTCTTTTCTTTGGATAGGATGTAATCAATCTCATTTTTTGTTGAACCATTGGGTGCGATCCACGTCCATTTTCTCTGTGGTTTTTTTATTGAAAAAGGTATTCATCGCATATAGACCGTTCGTTTCCATATAGTTCATCAATGTTTCTCCTCTTTCGTTTCGTGTTCCATATCCAAAGTTGCCGATTTTATTTTCTGATTCTTCTAGTTTTCTCCCTAATTTGGCATTGAAGTCGCCTATAATGATTGTGTAGGTGCTTTTGTATTTGTTCACTATTTGTGTCAATGATTCGTAGAATATCTCCACTTCTTCATCCGTATGTGATGATGTAGGGGCGTAAATTTGTATGATCTTTAAACTTATATTTTTATTTATGTCCATTATTAGAGCCGCGATCCTTTCTGAAATTCCAATATATTGTCTAATCTTATGGACATGCTGATTAGAAATAAGAAAACCGACACCAGCTAATGATTCTTCTTCAGTTCCTTTATAGTATAGTACGTTCCCGGATTCCAACTTCATACAGGCTTCATCTTTTCTTTTATCTCACTTAATCCTAGTATATCCCATTTCATCTTTTTTACTTTTTCTTCCAGTTCGGCTAGCTTTTCGTCTCTCATCAGTGATCTGACATTATAAGTTGCAATATCCAGTTTCGTTGCTTGTTTTCGTTGTTTCTGGCAATCTTCTAAAACCCAGGGATTCTTAGCACCCTCTGCTCTTTCCTCGATTCTACCATTGCCTTTGAAGGTGACTCCGGAGCTGCTGGGGACTGAGGGCCATTTCTTGCGTGTATCTGCCATAAGAGGGGGGTAGATTGGCCGTGTCTAGTATAGTCCATCATATTTCTTTTAAATGGAACACCGTGTATATTTTTTTAATATTTTAAAAGTTAGTTAATAACCTGATCTTAAAAACTATATTATGTAGGGTCTGTCATGCATAACACAAGATGAAATGTTGAGATTATGTATAATTTTGTCATGAAATTAAATACAAAACACAAGATGATACTTAGTTTCGAAAATTGATGTTGTGTTTAGCTAAATTTAAAAAAATCATTATTTAAAGTATGATAATTTGTGGAACTAGGCGAACTACAAGATACTATCAATACGGTGAATAATCTTCATCAGATATGATCATAACTTCCGGGCATTTCAGTTGCATGATGATAAATCGTAAAATGTAGAATGAACATACAAATACAAGAAATATCCTGAAGATAGAGTTACAAACAATGAAATACTGAAGAATAGCATAGAGAAGGAATTGAATGATTTACAATTAATAGAAAGATTGCTACTGTATCTCGACATGTGATGCGGGGCGATAAGTATGGCATCCTGCGATCATAATGTCAAGAAAAATAATGCAGAAGAAGCATCGAAGAAAACGAATTTCATGGCTGAAGAACTTGAGAAAGGTTTGGATGTCGTATTTAGCTATCCTTAAAAAAATGCATTGATCTTACAAGTGGATGATAAATTTTGTGGAATGAATCTTGGACCTTATATGCGACATCAATGAAAAAACTGGAATCATTCGAGCTGTGGGTGGATAGAAGGATTCTGAAAATATCGTGGACAGAACATGTCACAAACAAAGAGGTTCTGAGACGGATGAATAAAGGAATGGAAATTTTAAATACAATTAAAACAAGAAAATTAGAATATCTCGGACATATTACACGTGGACAGAAATACACCTTGCTCCAACTAATTATGCAGGGAAAGATCCAAGGAAAGAGAGCATAGGAAGGCATAGAATGTCATGGCTGCGCAACCTGAGAGAGTGGTATGGATGTACATCAAATGAACTTTTCAGAGCAGCCGTCTTAACAGTCCGAATAGCTATTATGATTTCCGACCTCCCACGAGTTGCGCTGAGAAGAACAGAAAAATTTTAACTTTAAAATTTGATATATTTAATGTCTTTTACAAAAATTGTGCATTAATTTCAAAACTTCAGCTTATATTATTCATAACAGACCCTACATAATACAGTTTGTTAAGATGAGGTGGTTAAGGAGCTTATGAAAATATAAAAATATACAGTGTGTTCAATTAAAAATAAAGATGAATTACTACGATAGACTTGCGCGAATAACCCTGTACGTTTAAATTTATATTTAAAAAGCGCACATTTAAATTTAAAGGTTGACGTGCCCCAGCGTTTTTAAAAATATACAGGGTGTTTCATTAAAAATAAATCTTATGGACTAAGCTAGGCTCGCAAGAGTGACCCTGTACATTTAAATTTATGTTTTAAACATGCATATTTGTATATAAAGTCTAAGGGTCTCAGAGTTTTTTATAATTTTGAAAACGCGGTTAGAAATAATTTTATTCCGTAAGTGGTTTCCACCCTGTATATATAAATTATCAAAAAATTAGTGTGTGACGTATTTTGCTAATAATAAACTTTATTGAATACCGACTTGAATAAAGTTGGTATTGATCAGAGTCATTCAAATTTCTAGAGTTCAATTTTTGTAAAAAAGTTAAAGTTAGTTTAATTTTTTTTTGCTTCTTTTTTTTTGGGTTTCTTTATAATTAAATATAAGTACAACAGGCATGGGATACGTTAGTATTAGCTATTATATGTACAGGAACTTAAATTAGTAGGTAAGTTAGAAGGCGTGATACATTTGTCTGACAGTAGGCCTTATTTTTTATACTACTTTTTATTTATTTCGTATTTTTGTATTAAAAAATATAAATTTGAATAAATCTATTACAAAATTTCAATCTCAAGATTTAAACATATAACGTGCGATTAATTGTCTTTGATAGCAAATTCTCGCTCTAAGGGTGGTTATCGGAAATGCTGACAATGAACTATGGATGAAAGGCAAGCGATGGATCATTAAAATATGCTCAAAAAGCCAGAAAATAATATAAAAGATTCTGACCTGATATATGTCCGGTAACTTGCCGGGTGACATGCTGTTCTGTCCGAGTCACCCTTTGGGTGTGCTGAGTTTGACTCTGTTGCATTTGACTCTGACTCTGTTGAGTCTGGGAAACTTGCTGTTGTTGTCGATTCATCGTTTCACCACAAAATCACACAATTCGAAGAAAAATTAAGAAAATCACAAAAAACACAAAAATCACAACGCGTAAAAAGAGTCTACTAGAAATCTGCTAGTCTCTTTTGGGTTTCGTTTGCCTTCCACGGGCTCAGTTAGCAGAAGTTCAAGTCATCATCCCCGATATCTCTACCAAGACGTCGGTCGTTTGCAAATTGCGAGCGAAGAATGGCTGTGCGGACGTCTCCCGCCTTGGACGCCCCTGAAACTTTTGGTGGGGGGTCTGAAACGTTTCCAGCGTCTTAAAATAGCCCCTAAAGTGTTATGTGGGTATTCGTGATGGGACCGTTCCGTAAGGCCGCTTGCCGTTTGAAAATAACGTTACATATACAATATTTTACTTTATATATTTATTATTCAGGACAGGTTTTAATTAATAGAACATAGGTTAAGGTTAATTACTTGGGCAAAAATACCAAAATTTTACTAAACACGCTTTAATGAAATGTTGCTTTGGAAAAAAATACTGTGTTAAAGTCGATTGTTTTTTTATTTTTTGATATATTTTTTGAATAGTTTTTACTATATACCGGGTGGTGAATCGTCAAAGAGACCATAGGAAACTCGATGAGAAATTTTAAATTGTTGAATTGCTGCTTCCCTAATAATTTTAGATCAAAAGTCATTAAAAACTATTTGTAGAGGACTAAAAATCTGAATTAAAAACAAATATTAAAACCATTCTACGACTCAAATGTACTTAAACATTTTGCAAAAATATATATACATTTTTCAGGCCACCCCTAAAAGTTAGGCCACACGTAATGCAAGAATATATTTAGGACGTTTGTGTTTTTATCATATTTATGTCAGATGTTTGACAATTTGAATTGTCAATTTTTTTATTTTATGATTAAATTATAAACAATGAATTTTACTAAATACTACTACTAATGAACATTATTACTTTGTGAACAATAAATTATATTGTTTACAAATCGATCAATATAATGAAATGTACTCAGTTGACGAAAAATCGCGTAATGTTGTATTCAGGCATAGCGCGAACCTTTTCCTGCCACTACCGGATCTTTATTTAACGTAAGATATTCTAATTCACTAAAATTTAATTCCATGTTAAAATAAGTTATACAACAATTCAATGAATTCCAATATACTGTTACTGTGATCTTTATTCCTAATAATAATATATGATAAATTTCTAAACATAAAACTATAACAAATGTTATAATAAAACATTTTTATTATTGATTTTTTTCTTCTCAATTGAGTACATTTTTTAATCAACTTAATTTTTTTTTAACAATAAATCACAAAATTTTGGCCATTTAAATCATAGATAAATGTAATATAATTGATTTAAATATTGTCAAATATCAGAAACAATAATATGACAAAACGCAACACGTAATACACATTTTTCACAGAAAATGTATTATATTTAGCAAAATTTTGGAATACGTTTAAGTCGTAGAATAATTTTAACAGTTGTTTTCGATACATATTTGAATCCTCTACAAATAGTTTCCCATGACTTTTGGTGTAAAATAATTAGGAAGCAGGAATTCAACAATTTAGAATTTCCCATTGAGTTTCCTATGGCCGTTTGACGATTCACCACCTGTATATTGTTACCAAACTCAGCACAAAGGCATAACTATTATGCCTTAAGATAAGAAGTAAGTCAGTAAGAAGACATCTTTTTTCACAGTAACATTTTATTAAGACATGCTTAGTCAAATGGCACGTTTTGGGTCCAAATAACTCAACCTTAGTTTATTTTTTAATATTTATAATTCATTATGCTTACTGACATTTAGAAAAAAACTACTTGGTGTAATCTTTGAACAATAAATGCCTTTATTTGGAACCCTAACCACTTTTTAATCGTTAAATGATATAAATTGACAACATTTCGTCTTCTTCTTCCTTCTAGCATGTAGGCTTTAAAGCCTGTTTCTTCGTCAATATTAGCCTCCTTAATTGTCGCACCATCTTTTTCTTGGTCTGCCAATACTTCTTCGTCCATTTGGTGACTTATCTCGTGGTATTCGTATTATTCTATCGTCTGTAATTCTACTGATATGTTCCTTCCACTTCTGTTTTCGTTTTGTCACCCATCCATTTATATCTTCTTATTTTTTGCTTCTCTCCCTATCCAATAGACTTTTCCCTGATATTCGTCGAAGTATTTTCATCTCTGTTGTTTCTAGCAGTCGTCTCGTTTTAGATGTATCAGATCTTGTCTTCGCTGTGTTTGTTAATATAGGTCTAATTTCTGCTTTATAGATTCTTGTTTTTCTTGCTTTTAAGCTTTGTTGTCGTACTTACTTCTTCTTCAATATCTCCGTAACTAGTTATATATATTTTCAGATATTTAAACCTTGCTTCCTGCTTTATTATTTTCCCATCAATTTCGATTTTACACCGACACCGTAGTGGGTATTTAGGTGTTGTCATACATTTGGTTTTGTCTGCTGATATTATCATATTCTATTTCTTAGCTGTTGTATTGAAGATATGTGTTAACCTTTGGAGCTCGTCTTCTGTCTCGGCGATTAATGCGGCGTCGTCTGCATAACATAATATTTGGATTTCTTTGTTCCCCATTCTGTAGCCATGACCTTTACGTACTGCTTGTATTATTTCGTCCATTATTATATTAAAGAGAATTGGGCTCAACGAGTCACCCTGTCTGACTCCGCTTTGTACAGGTATACACTGTGTTAGTTTTGTGAACAAAATTTGGTGAAATTGGAATTTATGTAGATCCAATAATTTACCCTTTAATAACGTAAATAAAAATTTTCTGGGATAAACAATTTCAATTTTGCAATCTCTATTAAGTGAAACTGCTTGAAATTTTTAAACCCTAATATTTGTAATATGATTCCCATTCTCACGGTAAATTAGAGATTTTTGGGCATTCTTAGAAAAGTTAATAATAATAATAATGTTCGAAAAATCGACTTTTGGAACTTATTTTGCAATAACTCGCAACAAATTAACAAAAATATTTTTACAAACCTTCATTTTAAAAGTTGTTCTTCATATTTTCAGTAAAATTGTGCCACTTTTCCATATTATAGAGTACCGGTTTTTACATATTTAAAATCAAATAGGGCTCTTACATTGTTTTATAATATTGTTTTATTTTTGTTTATTATATATTGCAATTACCACATTTAGCAAAAGCAATTGTTAGATACCTGCATCACAGAGCGTCATGGGAAATTGTTAGTTGCGTGGTCTAAACAATGAAACAAGAGGATCCACGAAGATTAGGCAGAAGATAAGACATGCGAAAACACGAGTTCGTAGTGAAGAATGAAATGAAATGAATACTATCAATAAGAAACACGATTCATTTCATCTGCATAAGAAACTAAAATAGATCATTGGAAACAAACGGAAGCAACTATCCTAAAATTTAGAAACCACAAACGGACACAAAATATTAGATATCAGGAGATGGCAGGAGACAAAAGCTGCCATTGCTCGTAACGCATTCTCCAGAATAATTATTTTAAACTGTTTGTTCTTTTGTCTAGTGTCTAGTATTTACATATTGTACTTAAATATTTCGATCCAGACCCAGAAAGGGCAGCTAAAACAAACACTCACCAACACGTCTAGCCAGCGTGGTATTGAAAGGCTAAATATCCCTCACGAAAATGTCAGGTTGGAAAACACGGAAATAATACCCCAGGCAAGTAGGAAATTATTTCCAGAATCTTGCACTGATAAAAATTATTAGTCTGTCCGACGGATCTGGGGGAGGAAGGGGGAAAATTGACAAAGATAGAAGTTACCCGAATAAGGTGCGAACTAGAAAACATAAAGTGGGACAAAGTCGGTCTCAGCGAACTCAGCAGACGTGGTGAACACTTAATTAAACTAAAATCAGGACATGGTTTTTACCATGTAGGTGACAACCAATAATTCTTTGGGAGGAATCAGCTTCATTATATACAAGCGTCTCTAAACAAGTATAGTATCACTAAAGACATTTTTCAGAGTGATTTGTCTTACTCTTAAATTGAATACAAGGTATAATATGAAAATAATACAGGTTGATGCACCAACAACAGACCATGATGAAGAAGAAGTGGATCTATTCTATGATAATATCGAAGCTGCTTCTTAAAGACCATCAGATGTGGACATTATATATGTGGTGATTTTAACGCCAAAACAGGAATGGAATACAACCCCACAGAAACACCACTGGGAATGTTTGGTTTGGATGGTAGAAATGAACATGGCGAAATAGTGTTAAGGTTTATGCTGCAATTTGAACTATTCCAAATGAACAGTTTAAAAAAAACCCAGAAATCAGACAGTGTACTTATCTCAATTCTTTCTCTTTACTCAACATTATGTTTACAATGTTTCTTTTATCCAGCCCGAAATCCCATTCGCCTCTCGAAATCTCCCATCTCATTTGCCTATCTCTGGCAGTTGAAAATGTGGGCGGGAGCGTCCGGTACCCCACAAACAGTACAGTCTGCCAAGACAGATGTGCCTATTCTATTTGTGAAGGTGCCAAGGTGGTATTGGCACCTTATATAAAGCCTTTGATACGTTAGCATTTGATAAAATCCTGAAAGACCTGAACATTGACGGTAGAAGATAAACAAATTTAAAATTCTCAGGCGACATAGTTTTGTTCTCGGAAAACCTCAAGGAGTACAATGCTATAAGAACTTCAGTTAGTGTGTGCCAGTGTTGGTATTAAAATAAACATCTCCAAAACAAAATTTGTTATAAACCTAGTCCTAGCAGAAATATCAATATTGGAGATAACGAAGTAGAGCTGCAGGAAAAATACATATACCTTGTTCACGAAATAAAGATCACAAGAAACAACCAAATATGCGAACTGCGAAGAAGAATAAACCTAGCATGGGTAGCCTATGGAAAACTCTAAACACATCTTTAAAAGCTATGTACCAATTTCTTTAAAACAATTTCTTTGACATTGACAGCTACAGATTC